TGGCCACAATACTTTGACTCTCTTCCATAGAGAAGCAAGGCCTACATCCCTTTGTCTTGAATTGGAGTGGACTCTGTATCTACTTTGACTAATAGAATATGGCGGAAGTAACAGTATGCTACTTTGTATGCTGGGCAGTAGTGGGTTTGCTATTTCTACTCCCTGTCACTTGGAATGCTTACTCTGGGGGAAACCAGCTGCCACATAAGAAGTCTAACTTCTGACACTGCCATCCTATGAGAAAACTCAGCGTAGCCACTTGCAGAGAAAGATCCTCAAACAACCACTACTGTTGTACTTCTCTCCACCCAGGCATCAGGCCTGTGAGTGAGAAAAGCACTCCTATGGCTCCATTTTTGGCAATATTTCACTGCAGCTTCATAAGAAATCCCAAGTGAGAATCACCCAGGTGAGCCTACAGAAAAATCAATAAGAAAACCAAAAACGGTGTTTTTTGTTGTTGTTGTTTTGTTTTGTTTTAACCAAATTTCAAGGAACTTTGTTAAGCAGCAATAGACAACCGGAATAACACTCAATATTTATTAAGGGCCAGGAGCAGTGACTCACATCTATAATCCCAGCACATTAGGAGGCCAAGGCAGGCAGATTACCTGAGGTCAGGAGTTTGAGACCAGTCTGGCCAACACTGTGAAACCTGTCTCTACTAAAAATACAAAAATTAGCCAGGCATGGTGCTGTGTGCCTGTAGTCCCAGCTACTCAGCGGAGGCAGGAGAATCACTTAAACTTAGAATGTGGAATTGTAGTGAGCCGAGATTGCACCACTGCACTCCAGCCTGGGTGACAGAGCAATAATCCATCTTAAAAAAAAAAAAAAAAAAAAAAAAAAAAAAAAAAAGCACTTTGTGCAAGACACTTTTGAAACCTGTTCAACTTATTTAAACATCAAAAACATTCTTGACTAATTACATCTGAGTCCCTCTTCAATTGTTCTAAACATCAGAATTATGATTATAGATCCATGGTAGTATCTTTAGTTCAGAGCATTACAAATGGTTGTTTTAGTCATAGTACACAGTCTTAAACTGGAACTGTGTGAAGTAAATTGTCTAGCCCATTTCTTTTAAATAGTTAATATTATATTATCAAAAACACATAAATAAAATGAAAATTATTGTTGGCATGCTGTAATAGGTCAGTTCTGACATTAAAAATATCAACATTTTATTGATAAAATATGCAAGGTGACATTAGTGAGGCTATTAGATTTTAACTACTCAACTAAACTTAAAATTCAAATTAGCCAATAAACTAAACCTACAAATTGCAAAGTGCTATGCTAGGACCCTCATTTTGTCATCAGACCAATGAGTATGTTGATTTTTATCTTGTTAAACCCCCAGGATAAAACTGTGAACTCGTGATCAGAGAGTATTCATCCTTTATCCAAATATAATTGCTTTACAGATTTAAAAAATGGTACCAAGTAATTACAAAGTAGATACAGAGAACTTAGGAAAATGCCAGGAATTAATTACACTAAGGAGGATCTAGAGGTGGCCTCAGCAGGCAAGATGGCCAGTGCTGTGATTTACAGGTTGCCAGCAAGACAAGAGCCGGAAAAAAGTGGTCCAGGCAAAGGATTTAGCTTGAAAAAGCATCAAGATATGTCCATGCAGGCATGATACGTTTAGAGAATTTCATGCAGTCCTGAGTGATTAGGTCATAGAATAGGTGGAGGCAAAGGATAAAGGTGATTATGTTGAGCCCTAAATGTCATGGTAAAAAATTTATATTTTATTCCCCCAAAACAAACACAGACTAAGGCAAATGTGAAATGAACAGAAATGAACTTTAAAAACATTTGGCATCAGAGTATAGAATGGATGAGTCTGGAAAGACAAGATCAAGAAACCTGCAATAAGACCATTACTTGAGCAGAAATGCAAGGAGTAATTGTCTAATGGAAAATGAATTACATATCACTCAACCTTTATGATGAATGCCAGCGTTTTAGATCTGCTCTTTAAGAGATATATTTGAATAATTCAGTTAGCACAGTCTCTAAAGGGCATTTTCAATTCTATGTACGGTTTATTTTTTGAGTGGCCGGAAGGTATAATTCTATTTACAATGCAATCTTTTCCAAAATAAACAGCTATAGCTTCCCCCAACCCCTAACATTTGCTTTTTTGTGCTAAAATAAGCATTAGACCTAGTCTTACTTATGAGTGAAAAATAGATTGTTCTCATTTATAGAGCAGTATTATTTATTATATGATGTAGTGTTTAGAGAGCTATGCACTTGAAAATACGCAAAAATAGAAACATGCCCTCATCTTTTCCATTTTCCATTTTACATGCAGAAGAGAAGGGGATTTTTGTTCTCTTCTCTCTGTGGCCCTGCTAGAAACACTACAAACTGTGAGAGAAGGAGTTTTGGCACCAAATTGTATTACATTTACACCAAGTGAAGAGTAAGCAAAATGCAGGAAACTGAAGTCATGGAAAAAATGGAAATGCTATCAGTATGTCAGAATAAGATATCAATTAAGGTATATCCCTCTGCTCAGCATACACATGTATCAATGTGTTCAGTTTTCAACTGATAAATGTACATGGGGCATCTTGACAATAATATTATTACATAAGCAGACATATGGGCCTTACTTAAAAAATGATGCCCCTGATTAGCATTTATCTTAATGCTGATGATACAGATTCATGAATCCATTTGCCTAGAATGCACAGTTGATGAATGTTACCCTGAAGAGTTTTCAAAGGTGAACATAGTCCAAACCAATGTTAAATAGATGACGCTATTTTACATTCTTCAGAACAAAATGAGAGGGATAGCATTTAACAATTTACATGATGAATGTATATTTGACATCAGCAAAACATACTGGAATAACATAGCAGGAATTCATATAATTTTTCTTTTAAAAGAGATTAATTCTCAGAATGCACAGAGAATAATAATGTAGATTAGGTAACACTGTAAACAAGTACACAATTACTGAACCACCCGAGAGTTTATTTTCATAACCAAGAGACCAGCCTTGAGCTTCAGCTTCCAATTAATCAGAAAGAAAATTGACCTTGGACAACTAGACTTCTCCAGAAAATGAGCTGTATAGAAATTATTCATCAAAGATTAAAACAAATGAAACTAGTATAATGTATGCCATTGATTTAATCCAGTTTTGAAAGTTATCATTCCTCCAAGTACTCCATTAATTTATTTCCCCTACATCTCTATTTATGCTTGTGACTGTGGATAATTTTGTTTCTTTGATTTTGACTTCCACCTTCTTCTATATTGACTATAATTCTCTATTATCAACATTGAATATAAGAGGCAAGCACTTTCTGAATAGTATTCCACTCAATTGAGTAGAATCTGGCAGTCAATGAGAGTTTCAGAAATAAGTGTGTGTGTGTGTGTGTGTGTGTATACAGTCATACATATATATGCGTGCATAAATACTAAGTGAATATAAAAACACACACATAAATTTGTGTACATACACACACATATATAACAAAAATCACTACACAATAAATAAAAAGAGCTGTACATTTTAAACATTAAATTTTAAATATAATTTTTCTTACTATAGTATAAAATCATATTTAAGTGACCAAATACCATAAATATGGAGTCGACTTAACTCAAATAATATGTCATACAGCAAGTGAACAAAAGAAGAATTCTGTGTGTATTGTGTTTTGTTAGTCTGTGTTCATATAGGAATATGTTGTGTGTGTGTTGTGAACATCCGCGGTCAACTTTTTCCTCTCAGGTGTATTCTCTTCTTTAAAAGCTATAATCATCATTTCTATCACTCTTCAGTGCTTGTAGAATGAAAAATATCATGTGCAATGATTGAGATTTAATGTTGAATTTTAAAAGTGCAAAGATAGAAGTAATTTGTGAAGGATGATGCTGAAGTTTCTTATTCTATTCAGTCATTGTAACCAGTGTGATTCAAGATTGGTTGATGTATGGGTCATGGCCAGCAGCAGCTTTTTTCAGAAGTAGGAGACCAGAAATTTTCTTCCCTGTCAATTATATAAGAAGGAATCTAAAGTATGTGATTTTGGACACCATCTTTCCTAATATGAGACATACTTTCCTACGACTAATACAATGGTAAAATAAAACTTACCAGTTCTTAGATTCACAAAAAACTACTTTATGTCTCAAATATTTGTTCAGTTTTAATTTCAATTATATTTGAATGAATAATATTGAGGAAAAACAAAAGAAAATTTACTGCTTGCACAAGCAACAATTTTTATTCTAGTTGGAAACTAGCCAATGAGCTACATTGATGTACATTTTATTGAACAGTGGCTCTGAGATCATGTGGTTCTCTGAGGCTACATCATATCTTATTCATCCCGATAGCACCCAGTACCTAGAATAGTGTTTTTCAAGTTATATTCTGTGGAACCTTGGGGTGCTTCAGATATCTGCAAATATTTGATTTGCTCTACTTCTTTAAAAGCATATATAGCTTAAACTCCGTGTATGCAAACATATATACACATGTATACGTGTGTATATATGTTCCATATCAATTATATGTATTATAATACACATATAATAAACACATGTGTGTATATATGCCCAAGTTGAAGACTTCAGAGATAATGAAAACATTAACTTATATGGCCAGGGAAGCTTAGTTTTTAATAAATACAGGAAAAATATCTATACATACATTTGAATTTCTTGAAAATGTCGGTGCTTAGGAACGTTGAATGTTACAAAATGTGTTTTTCTAAAATTTTGAACTGAGCATATCCAACTATGTAAAATTATATTTAAAATATTTGTTCTAGGTACATAGGGGTTCATTACCTTAATCTCTCCAAATATGCACACTTTTCCTAATAAAAAAAATTTTTAAAAAAAGCTATAATCAAAAACTTACATTTTTTTCTTCAAGAAAGAGATGTTTTGGAATACTACATTTAGGATGTTTCATCGTACATTATATGATGTAAAAAAAACTTTATAAAAGACAGTCACAGTATTCAAAGTGTTTTATTTCATCAAACTAATTACAGTTAATAATCTGAGCTAAATATTAAAATGCATAAACTCACATGTTTTTATTAAATGTTAATCCCATTCAGTTTCTCAGACATTTACTTTGGTCTTCCAAGTTAAGATTAAGTCATAGATTGATTGCTGTACTTTATTAATTTTAACTCTCTTCGTTGGGTTGAATCTTTAAAAAAATACACACAAATACACACATTTGAACTCCATTAGTGAACCAAAACCACATAGTGAAAAGTTTTTATTATGCCACATCAGATATTACAGGTCGTATAACTTTTCTTCCTCCATATAACCTACAAAGAATTTTTCAAACCATTAAAATTTGGCAAAACTCCAATCTCGATGGTGGTATTGGTCATGCAGAGAATTAGATGTTAAGTAAAAACCAGGAACATTCATGATAGCAGCAGGGATTTTAAAGTGAACTATCAAGTCAGACAAAATACTGTGACCAGTTTAAAGGAAGGATATTTATAGACAGAAAAAACAATACACAAACCAAAAAAATATTCCAAAGATATTTATGTTTATTGTTTTAAATTTAAATAGAAAAAATACATTAGAGGGATATGTTTTATATTTTAATAATTCCAGAGTTTAGCTCCAACACATTTATCTTAAAATATAAGTATCTTTGATTAAATTTTATAGAAATTTAAATCCTTACTATTTTAAAGACTCATTTTCCAGTGAGAAATTGAGACCTGAATAACTCTACAATGCTATGCTCTAGTATAAACTTTGTGTTAAGAAGCAAAGGAACTGTATTACCATGAGGAATAAGTTGAGCTTTGAAAAGCAAGGGACATTTACTTAAAGAGACAGTGTTTAAAAAATCATTTCCTGATGAATTACTTTAAAATTGTAAACCAATATTTGATAATGTTCCTTTTTTTCAAAATAAATTTGCCAAAACAAAATAATAATGACTATGTGCTCCTCACTATAGTATACCATGATAATACTCCTACATAGAATAAAATTGCCAATTTCAGGGAGTCAAATGTGATTACTAAAACCTCAAGAAATATGTTCTTGAGGAAGCAATTTTCCTATAAAATCAAAACACCTCTATCTCCTATCAAACCTTGAACTGTTATAAATATCACACTTCACATTTACTATTCTAATTGAGCAAGAATATTGAAGCTCAGATGATAACAAATTTAGTTTTTTATGATATGATGAAATATGCATTTTTTACTTCTATAATAAGGAATATTTTCAATTGTACAACTAAACAATTTTAAAATTATTCAGGAGAAGAAAGAAGGGAATGAACTTTATATTCCTCAGTTTGTACAACACTTCATCTGAAAAATCAAAGAAAACCTTTATTTTTTCTGAAATTTTCAATATTTTCAGAATCAAAGTAAATATCAGGGGATTTCCTTCATTAAGGATAAACCAGTGGAAAAAATTAACCTCCTATTTCAAACTATAGACATTCAAAGTATTATCGCATAGATACAGCTTTTCATGAAAACTGGATTCTCATTCAATTTAAAATGAAGCTCCCTCAAAATCATATAACCTTACCTTATCAACCAACAATTTTTTTTCTGCCTCTTGAAAAATGAAAGCTTTGATTTACTGTATACTTGAACTAGGAGACAATATACATAATCAGTAAACTGACAAGCCAACATGCTACACTGTATTAGCAACATCTGTAAAGACAAAATACAGACTACAATTCACAAATATAAAACACTGAGAAAAAAATATGTCAATCATAGTTTAACTGAAATACTATACATTTTCTGTTATCAGAGCTTCTTTTATTTCCCCCAAAGGAAGCTGTTTCCTATGGACTTCAAGTAATAATTTGTATAGATACCCATGGAAATCTATAATTTGCATATTAATTTGCCTTTGGAAATAATATTATGCAATTGGTAGTATCTTATATTGCCAACAACATAACTTTGTTCAGGTATTTGCCAGACTCCTTTAATGCATACTATAGTAATAATAAAAATGAGACATATATGAGCAAATATAAAATATGAGACATGAGAAAATATAAAATATGACATATATGATAAAATATAAAACAAATGAGTTCAGAAAAATATTGTATTAAAGAGATTATGTATATGTATTAATATAGGGAAAAAATCCTAACTGCACTTCACATTATGATATTCATATGTGATCTACAAATTTCAAGGGAGAAATTTTTATCAAATTATATAAATCCACATTATCTCCATATTTTACAGTCTGTTTTGTTGACACCATTTGTTTATTCTCTCTGATCACACACACTCACACCAAAATCCCAATGTATTATAGGAAGCTATTTCCAAAGTAGGTTATATCTTATAGCAACTAGATTTACATGGGATAAGTAGAAGTAATGAAAAGTTTGTTTTACTGAAAACTAAATGAAATGTATATAGTAGAAAAATTAAAGAAGACTATAATTAGATTTAAATCTTAGTGTTAATATAGAATATATTTAATTTATCCTTTACTACTTGTTTAACATGACCAACTGTCATAGCTTGAGGTATCTGGTGACATTTCAAATACATTTGTGTCATTCTTTTTCACAAGTTAGTATTTTCAATTAAATTAATCAGTTCAGTGATAATATAGTACTCTTGAACATTGTAAATTTCCTTTGCATAGTTCCATTTTTCCATTTTGAAGTGGAGATGTTTGTCTCTAGTAAAAGGAAAGGATACCATTTTATTCAAAGTTTCTTTTATATTACACGTGGGTATTCCTTTTATTTTTTAACAGAAGTAATTAGTGGTTGAGAAAAGCTGTTAAGAAACCATAAGCATTTAAAAAATTTCCATTAAATGTATCATTATCCAAAAAGAACTTAAAAATGTTTATACTTATAATTAAAGGAATAAGTACTTCACTAATCTACTGATGAATTGAAGGACAGGAAAATATAAACAGTGTAATAAATTAACATTGGGATAGAAATACATGACTGAAAAGTAAAGCTCAGGAGAGAAAAATGAAAATAAAAAAAGGCAAGGGAAGCAATCTCAGAGGACAACTCTGGGATTCCCCTATAGAAACTAAAGAAGCTTGCAGAAATACTACAAAGGAAAATGTAAAAAGAATTTATTTTTTATACAGGAGTTCTTTCTATCAGCTTCCTAGTCCTTCTCATTTTTTCTGAGGTGCCATAGAGCTGGTTTAATCTAGATTTAATCTAGGTTTAATGCTTGATTCCAGTGACATCTGATATACAGAAGGTAAAAGCCATGTAGCTCTGGTTGTCATATCAGTAAAAGATACTCTGGTCAATCCCTGGTCTATTGGAAGTGCAAATAACATATGGTGACTCAGTTAAAGATGGTGAAATAAAAATATTCATAATTCATTCCCCACCTAAGACAGCCTCCTAAAATAACATAATGAAAAATTGAGAAAAAAATGAAAACTCCATAATTAACAAGTAATTGATGACAAACTATAGTCAGTAGCTTTTAAATAGGTAGCCATTTGCACTAATAGGAGAAAGGAAATTGATTGGCATTTATCTTAAGCAGGATGTACATTTCAGTAAGTATCACTGTCCTGAGATATTTCAAACAAAGATGGTTTGTTGGAAACCTCTGTAGGATGGAGTGTAAACAGGCAAGAGAAAAACAAAATCTGTCTTCATACGATTTTACTATATACTTCCAAATAGTGGAATGTAGAAGTAAAGATAAAAATTCTGATAGACTATATTTGAGAGTTGTGAACAAGTTTGCTGAATAATATAGAATACTAAGTTTAATGTGGGGAAGGGGGTGGGACTAAGAGCAAGAATCACCAGCAATAACATAAAGAAAGTAAAACAGAGAGTTTTACACTGTGAACTACATAGGCTACCCAAATGTCAAAAATAGATTTAAAAATATGGTGCCTGGGCAGAAGAAAAAACACATAAAACAGTTTTGGGGAGGTGGGCTTGAAACCTGAAATTTAAATAGCTTCTGTGGGCTGATCTGACTCACCCTCCCACCACTTCCCACACTATAGTTCAGTAAATAGCTGGCTCTGCTCAGTGATTAATAGAAAGAAACCAGCCCCAAAATAGGGAAGGGAGACAAAAACTCAATGAAAAAGCAGATGAAGCTCATGCCACATAAAAACTTTTTCAAGAAATAGAGGAAGAGTTTATATAAATAGTTCTCTGTAGTCTCAAAAATATTATAGACATGATCTCATTAATAGAGAAAGAGAGAAGCTCAAAGAAGATATTTCAATAAATCAATGGTAAAAATGAAGAAAGAGATGAAAAATGAAATGACAGTGACCAAGAAAGCAATGGAAAACTAAATAAACCACTATGAAGTTGAAAAGTACATTAGAAGTTACAAAATAGAATAATCACAACTGAAAACTCACTAGGGTTATGGTTAACAAAAGTTAAAGAAAATTTTAAAGATACCAAAGTCATTACAAAGAATACTATAAATAGTTATAGAGCAGGGGTCCCCAACCCCTGGGCCACTGACCAGTACTTATCCATGGCCTGTTAGGAATTGGGCAGCACAACAGGAGGTGAGTGGCACCCATTGAGCATTACTGCCTGAGCTCTGACTCCTGTCAGAGGCATTAGATTCTCATAGGAGTGCATGCGAGGTTGTCCGCTCCGTATGAGAATCAACTAATGCCTGATGATCTGAGATGAAACAGTTTCATCTGAAAACCATTCCCCCACCCTCACCGGTGCCTATTGCCAAAACAGTTGGGGACCACTGTATAGAGACAAAAGGGATTTGACATAATTGGCATTTCTAAAAAAATTTACTTAGACATAATTGCAGAAATTTTTCCTGAAATAAAAACTGGGAAAAAGCACCGACTCTCTAAATCTCTTGCTTTAAAGAAACACCATCCAAATTTCAACAATTTCTTCAGTTTTACCCTCCTATTTTTATCTTATATGGATATAAGTCAATTTAATTTTGTATTATTTAGTGACAGCATATATGTCATATTGGCTTCTACATTTATAAAACTGTGTCTTTTAATCAAGCAATCTACTCTTCTAGACAAACATATCCAAATATAAAATATTTATGATTTCTGGGTGGTAGAATTTTGAGATTGTTTTTAAATTTCCGCAATGTCTATCTTTAACAGTCATGTATCACTTTTACAAATGACAATGAAGTAATTGCACTTAAAAAAAAAAAAAAGAATAGAAGGCAAAGTTTAAGAGAGGAAAGAAAAAAATAAGAGCTCTCTATTGTTCCACTACCTCTAGATTTGTGGCCCTCCAAACCATAGTTCACACAATAATCAGGTGATTTTTCTAAAATAGAAAAATGAGGATGTTAGTTTTCATAGCATTATCCTTCAAGATTTTTAATAAATTGCCACTAATCCTGAACAAATTCCATTATTTTAGTAATTTACATAAAACTCTCCCTAATCCAGGCCGTTTCGGTCTTTCCAACCTCAACAACTCTCACTTCCCTGCATTCACCCTTCCCTCCAAACACTGAACTAAGAATTTGTAGTAAGAGTTTCCTTTGACTTTCCACATCTTCATCTCCTCTCCTGCCTCAGGTGGTGATAAAATTGTGCTTTTGTTTTTTTGTTTGTTTGTGGAAGTGGGAACGGAGGCTATAAGAACTACAAATCCTTCTACAAAATTTAGTTTAAGATTATCTCTGTGAAAGCTTCTCTGCTATCACTCTTGTCCCTCTCCATCAACAATGTTCTTAAGTTATGTGCATCTTTTATCCACCTCTAGATCAGTGCTATGTGAGCAATTTTGGAGTCTGAGGCAGAAGAAAATATTATTACTATTGATTCCATTAATTTATTTAAAATTTGTATATTCTGTTCATCATAAATTTTTTGCATTAATTTTGATTTTTAAAAATATTGACTTAAATATTAGGTATCTTGATTATTGAAGTTTGGGTGTCCCCATATATGTTTGTGCCTGAGATGAGTATCACCCTAGTTTTGGCCCTGCTGTATTCTACTGAAGCATTTGTTACACCCCATAATTTCTGTCTGTACATCCATCATCTCTAACAGACTGTGACTACCTGCAAGGAAAGGGGCTAATTTTATCTCTGTATATCTAAAAATCAGCACAGTTTCTAAACTGGGCAGGAGCCCACTTAGTGAATAAAAGGCCAGGAAATCCCAGAAAGGAGAAATAACCAATATTCTACAGTCTTTAAAGAATACAATCTTCCCTGGGGAAGAATACACTTAATCTAAATGGAGAGATGTTATACATATTTTTTAAGGTAAGGAAACCTTAGTTTGAAGCAAGCCATGAACTTAAAGTAATCAAGCGGTAGAACTAAATTTTTGTCCATAAGCACTTATTGTGGTGCAAACTATTCAGTGTTTTTATTACAAGAGTATGCTTTTATTTACTATGAGAATCAGAGAATATTAAAACTGAAAAGCTCTTAGATATTACATAATCCACCTCCTCCCTGTTATAAATGAGGAATCAGTCTTAGAGAGGTTAAGAGACTTGCCAAAAACCACAAGACAGTCAGAACTTGAAATTAAGTGACCCATCTCCACACCTGGTGCCTTCTACTTGAGATTATTCACAAATTTAGAAGAGGAGACCATTGAGAACAGGAATGGGGAGAGCGGAGATTTTTTTCTAGGCCAGAAAGAATTGGCCAGCTCGTGGGTAAAATAAGCCACAAATAAATTTTTTATGCATTGTTTAAAATGGGGTCACTGTTAAGGTAAGGTTATTGAAAAATGACCTTTCAAAGTTCTTTCCAACCCTGTGATTTTATCTTTGTCATTTAACTTCCCTATGACTCATTTTATCAAACAAAGGGTGACTCTACTCTCTACCTACTTTAATACAAGATTTGTGAGGTCCAATTTAAAATATACATTATTCAAAGTACTATGTATATGCACAAGTGCAAGTCATTTTAAACTGTAGATTAATCATGTAAATATATTTTTATACCTAGTCATGCCTGTAGGAAATTGAAAGTAATTATGTAGCAGTTAGTGGCCAACTTGGACTGCAGGCACTAGGTCCTGAATAAAACTACTCTGAATTTCACCTTAAAAGAGTTATATAAGGGTACCATTCACAGCCAAAATTATTCATTATTATTCAGAGATAGCCAGAACGTTGGGTGCCCCTAATTACTCTTGTGAGATTTTCTAACAGGTAAAAGTGACTGGCTCTTCACAAAAGTGTTTTTACTTGATGTACCTCTGGGTTATTGGGAAGATAGAAATGATGACCAAAATAAAAATCACTGAATGAATTCGATGAAATTCAGTTAAGGAAAGCAAGCAACATACTACTACTATTATTATCATCATCATCATCATCATCATCATCATTAACGTTGTGTGCAAATGAAATAATTTATCTTAATAATAATGTTTAAGCTTTCTAGTTAATGTGTTCTTCAAATTAACAATTAAGAATCCTTGGTTAATTTTGTCCTTTCTCGTTCTTTGGCCACCTGACTTATTTTTAAACCTTCATATGTAAAGGTAAGAAAAGAAAATCTATGAGTTCACCTAGATCTCCTGTCTACAAACCTAAAATCATTTCTTTTTATCTCTTCATACTCTGTAAGATTTGTAGACGAATACTTCTTTTTTTAAAGGAAGCCAATGAATAGTCAATGAATTATTTCTTAAGATAGGCCAATAGATTAGCAAAGAGTAAGAGTTCCTCACCAAAACAACAACAACAACGACAAAACAACAACAACAACAACAAATAAAACAGCCTTTTCATCAGAATAGTGAACTATCAGTTTCTAGCATAGTTCCTGGAACAAAGTAAGCTCTGAATAACTAGCAGTGAATCAATTGTGCTTCCAACCACATTTCCAAGCATTGTTCTCAAGGCCAGAAATCTATTCACATTCATGAAATAATTTATGATAACCTTTTTTGTACAAGTACTCTTTATTAAATATATACATATATACAGATGTTACCAGGCCTAATTTTACTAGAATCAGTTTTAAAATGGGGGATTGGGACTGGATGATTTCTACAGTATCTTTCAGCCTTAAAATGTGTTGATTTTATGGAATACCTAGAAAGACAGCCAAGAAAGAATTCTTAGATATGACTTACAATTAATATTTGACATTTGCACAATTTTCAGGTCTCAAAAACTACTATTATAAGGTAATGAAATAACTGAAAAATCGATGCCAATTACCTACTATCAATTCTTTTCTAAAACAAACAAACAAACAAACAGAGAGTGATTTCGTCTGCAATGTGGCCATTTCTATCAATATGTTCCCTAAAACACCCAGAACACATTCACTCATCCATTCCAGAGCAGATAGAGAGAAGCACAGAAGAAAATCTAAAGGCAATATGACAGAAACCAGACTTAGGTTGAGCTGCATAGACAGTTGCAAAATTTTCAATTAAGTTGTTAAGCCTACCTAATGAGAAAGAAGTCAGTAGATGAAAATCCTAATAAACCACATAGCAGGGTCAGTGGCATTCTACCCCACAGCTATATTTTCTTTACTCCTTTCATTTGCCGGTCTCTTAATTTTAAAATGTTCACCTTAGTTATAAAACCTTAAAAAAAAAAAACTCCTAAAAAACCAACATGAAGACTGCCCAGAATTACAGAACTACAGACACAAAAATTCTTCAAAATACAGCATTTCACTAGTTAATATATAGATCTATGTTGGGGAAAGCACCTGAAAATGACCGTGCTGAGTTCCTATTTCTGATGATTCTGTGATTCTGATCAAATTCTACTCTGTGACTCTGATCAAATTTGAGACAGTTAATCTATTAAGTTTTGTAGTGCCCAGATTTTTACTTTCAAGTACACAATGCTTTTCACTTACAGAACAATCTGTACCACATTCTCATCTATTTGGAAAACCAATTGCTGAAGTTGTACTAACATGTACTTATCTCAAAGTGGTTATGTGAACAAATATATTTGTTATCCACTATCAGTATAGGAGGAGAAAATATTTTGAATATGTTGTCAGACTCTAAATAAATGTCCTTCACTAAAGAATGCAATGTCCTCTGCTAGTTTATGGTTCTTTGGCATGCATTGTGTGTTCTACTTTTTAAGTAATATTGTAGGTAAAGGTGCAAGAGCTTTCCTAGAGAGACAGTTTCTAGCATAGTTCCTGGAACACAGCAGGCTCTGAATAACTATGTAGTAAATAAATACATACCTGAATGAACTACCATGAAAAAGAATTCATACAATGAGTTAAACTTTGGCTCAGAGAACAAAATTTCAAATTAACTGTTAAGTACTGTTTGGCCAACATAAGAAAGGGAACATGTTTCCTCTGGTCTTTGTCTTAGTTTTTTATGCTGCACAGTTTTTACTCTATTGATCAGCATTTATACTATTCCATTTTTTTTTTTTTTTTTGCCAATGTTTCATTTAACAGGAATATTTCTTTTCCTGAAGCTCCTAAGAAGATCACCAAAGGTCACTGCACATGACATCCAATAAACAATTCTCGTTAAGGGCAGTGCCACTGGGAAATTTAGGGTGGCAGGTTGATATTCATCGGGTAGATTTTTAAAATGTCATAGTCTGTTTTCAAATATCAATGAAAAAATATGTGCCACATGTCTCTAATAGCTCTATTTCTCTTATCCCAACTTTCCAGGATGGTGTGTATTCTATCTAAGTGAATGCTGAGTTCTTTTAAAATAATTTTTCTGGAAAATAAAAACATACTTCACTTTTTCACTGAGGAATTAACTCTCCCAATAACTGGCTTATATCTTTAAATGGAAAAATTACATAGATTTTTTATTTTAATAAAGAATAGTTGTTTATATTTAAAAACATTTAAAAAGACATTCTGCATTTTCATCATCTTTTAGCAAACTACTATAGCAACAAAATTACATTAGACTTTCTGATTTCTCCATAGTGTCCTTAGATAAATAAACAACCCAATAAACCATGTTAAATGCCCCAAATGTGACTGGAAAGAGAATACGGGCATATTTGTCAATTTTACTTGTGCCAGATCCAGAAGGTGGTGGAGCTGATGGAGGAGGAGTAGCTGACAACTTCCCAGTAGCCCCTATGGTATTAACTGTGGTCTTAATCCTCTGCAATCTTGATCCAAACACGTGACGAGTAGAAGCAGATGCAATTGAAGCCTTTCGAGACACATATCCAGTTCGGCTAGAAGCAGGAGAAGCAGATGGAAGTGCTCTTGCCGCAGATATGGTTTCAGCTGCATTTGCACGGCTGAATGGGTTTGGACTGGAAGCTAAGTAAGACCGAGGTGTGCCTTTAGAAGATTCTTGAACAACTGTGGAAGATTTGCTTGAATGGTTTCCCACCACAGTTCTGTTGCCAACATCAGATTCAGAGTGAACCGAAGCATTTGTTCTTTTTCTCATGTTCAAATTGGCATTTGTATTCTGAAAAGGTATATGAAAAAATATATTGGTTATGTAACTTTATGCAGCTTTGTACAAAATTTAAAGGGATCAAAATTCTTAAAATCAGTCATTTCTATAAAATAAAACTTTATTAATAAGCTGTAGTCACCTTGATTTTAAAAAGCTTTAAAATATAAAACTAAATATAACGTGCATACATTTGAAACTTTGAACCAAAAATCTTCTATTTCAAAACATGGTCTATTCTTATAAATAATTAGACCTTAAATCTATAGAAAGAAGATTAAGTTGTTAGAACGACAAGCTGATGTTATACTTAATTGCATTTTAAGAGTTAATGATTACTGTTCTAAAAGTTATTTGTTTAGTTTTATTGTAAATAATATTCTGTATATGTCATATACACTTCAAATTTCTCTATGTGTTTACTTTATAAACAGGGAGAACCATACCTAGTCATGTACACAGAATACCAACAATAACAACTATCCATATGTACATAACATTTATTTATTTAAAAAGTCCAAAAACTTTGATTTCCAAATCCTTTGAATTTACTGTCATAAAAGGCATAGGTAATTATACACATTATTTTAAAATCTAACAATCCTGACACATTTTATTTCTCACTTCAATTAACAATGAAAACACAAATAAAATTTAATTAGAAAAGGTTGTATTAGACTTATAAACAGCATCAATGAATAGTTGCATAAATATCTGGATTCAAACCATTAACCAATAGTGATTAAATTGAAATACATTTCACTGGTTTTCATCAAATTATTTTCTTTGTAGAACAAGATTGTATTTGAAGAAAGTTGTGCAGCAAGCCACTAAAATTCTTATAATATTGACAGCCACAATAAACAACTATGTACATAATTAATTATAGATTCTCCATGCTAATGAAGGTCAGTAATTTCTCAGATGATCCCCCAAATAGTCACATCTGATTTTTTAGAATATATGATGATATTTCCACAGTAATTTTTCTTCTCTATGTTTATTCTAAGCTATATTAATGTTAGATGATAATTACTTCCATAACTTCCCCCCCTTACCATTTCATGAAGTAGATGGTGAGTGAAAAAATGGAGAAATAGAGGAGAGAGAAAGAAGCACAGCTCATAAAAGGGTGATTGGAAGAAGCCAGCCTCAAAGGGCAATTCACAGATACTAATATATGAAGTGGGTAGATTATATATAATTAATTAAGATCTCACTTTAGACATAAAGGTTTACTCTATAAATGTAATCTTTATTAGTACACTCATCTAGCATGCTTAAAGTTCAACTCATATCTCATAAATCATGACTACAAGGTCGCTGAGTAGACAAAAACAGCCTCACAAAACAGAGTCAATGTAGACTCTGACAGGTGTAGAAAGCATTCGTCATGTCAACTTGGCGTATTCTTCTAAGCAGGTTGCAGTTGAACTAATGAGCAATTGTAGCCTAACATATGGCACTGAATTTGGGTGGAGAAAATTGAAATCTAAATTGACATCAACCTAAAAGCTGAAGAACCATTACTTATCCTTCACTTTTCCTCTACATAGAACATTATAAATGTCACCTAATTAATCTTTAGATTTTGAATCACTTGTTACAGAAAAGGATAGTAATTAATTGATTATCATTGATCCTAAAATGTTATACACATGGTGAATAATATAAAAAAGAACAAGGTATATCCTTACAATTTAAAGAGCATATATAATCTTTGGCAAGGAAGCATACATACACAAATGATACAATAAAAAATATAACAAAAGGTAAAATATATTCAAGAACCAAACTATGACCAAATGCTGAATATCCCAAGAAGAGAAGAAAAGAGAGTAAAAATGATAAATTGGACAAACAGGAAAGTAATACATTTTTTCAAATATAATATGATAGTTGCATACTGTCTTCTTCTTTCAGTCAGTTAGGTTGTCCATGACCTTTAGAAATCTGTATGTTTCCTAACACTAAATTCTAAGGACTGGAGACTTTCCCTGCCAGTAAAAATGAAGTAACAGGAACTGAATCTACTTTCCTGCCTAAAATGACCCCCAAAACTTGACAAAGTATGCAAAAAAACAAAAACAAAAACAAAAACCTGTTGTTTGAAGAAACTGGCCATTAGACAACACAGAATCATAATCACTGAGAGGGAAAAAGCAAACTTGAAAGAGTTGCCATGCTGTGGTTTAGGAATGGAAAAGCCAGAAAAAAACTGGCAGGCTTCCTGAACTGAAGATATGAAGTTAAGAATCTTGGGAGACCAAGGTGGCTAGAGTTCACAGGACAAAGTACCAGAGATAAGAATGCTAAACAAAGAGAGAACTCTAAAGATCTAAAGAGAGTCCCCATTGAGTATTTTACCAAACAAAGATCAGTTTGTGAGTGTGAGGTAACTACCCAAGGCTGAAAGGAACCATCTGAAATGATTAGAAAAAACAATATCTGACATTCACCCAAAGCCAGGAATAGTGCATGTTTCCACCTGCTGGACTAGAAAATGTCAACATTCATGTAGCATTTGGTAGAGTACGTAGAAGTGGCTGTCTTAATAGTAAGTATAAATAGCCTCAAACACTGCTCTTGTATTGTCTAATGCATTTTAAGAGCAAGAGTAGGAAGGATCAAACTGACTCGAAGTAACGTTACTGCCCCCCAAAACAAAGTATTAAAACATTTAAGTTCTTTTGTTCTAGACCAGTATCCTTCTGGAATGTCCTGAAATCTTGTAAATTGTGTTCTATATAATAGATTGGCTTCAAAAGTGACACCAATTCATCATTTCTCTCTATATTCATGCCCTCAATATTCATGCTCCATATTCAGGCCCAGGAGCTTACCCATTCCTGACCCATCCAGAGTTGGAGTCTATTTTTCCATAAGCTGCCTAATGACTTTCTTTGTCCAACAGTATGTGGAGGAAATGATAGTTTGCCATTTCCAATTTTTAACCTCAACAGTTCTTACTTACTTACACTCTTTCTCGAAACACTGCCACTACCACCATAAGAACAGGTCAGCCTGGCTAGCCTGCTAGAGATTGAGAGATCATTTGGAGAATAGCCAGTTATCACAGTGAGACAATCCTAGAACACCCAACAACTAGCTGACACTAGATTCACTAGTGTTCCGTTAAGAGAAAATGAGCTGCCCAAGCAAGCGTAATCAAAATCAACAGAATTCACAATTGATCCATAGACTTGGGAGCAAAAATAAATATTTATTGTATGTACCTGAAGTATCATTTTTTTTTTGTTATGCAATATTATTGTGGCAATAGATAGATGAGTTAGATCAAAGGTCCTGATGGGAGGTGCAGCCAAAGGGCTCATGAGGGCAGAAGTTCCTCAGACATTCTAGGATACTTAGAAGATTGGCCTGCCCAGAACTCATAGAGGACCTTTAGGGGGCACTGTTGCCTAATCCACACACTAGCTGAAGGACCAAGATGCTTTGCCCTCCATAATCCCACACTTTAAGAATTACAGTATTTTAAAACAGAAAGGGATTTCAGTGATCAACTTATTCCATTACTTCATTTTCCAGTAGAGAAAAGTAAGAACAGAAAGGTTACAGGTGGCTGGAATTCACACAGCAAGTGACTTACTTGGTGTCTGTTCTGCCTCATTGTAGAGGTTCTCTACTTACAAATGTGGAGGAGGCTTTAAAGAACTTAACAAGCTGCACATATTTGAGTCAGTCAAGTATTCATAATAGTATGATGTTAAGAAAAATTATACAAGACTTGGACATCAGAAAAAAATACAGCATGTCTTTTCAATGTCATAATAGAGTATTGTTTAACAAGCCCACACAAGGATAATTAAATCTTTAGAATCATTTACTTGAATTTGATTTTGCCATTTAATATTTGATTAGAACCCAAACACTGTCAAGTTAACATACTCAATTATGGATTCTTGTCTAGTACAAAAGATCACCAAAGGTTATGGTTTTATTGCCTTGTAAGACATTAAGCACTTCTGTATTTAACCTACCAGTCTTATTTTACTTTTCCTTTTAAAAAATTGCCTATAAGTAGCCATTCCTCAAAATGACTTTGAATCCATTTTACCGTCTAAGTGGTTCTCTCATTAATTAACCATTGAACCAATCTTGGAGACCTGTCCATTCATTATTTGTAGGTCATGTTTTCGACAGTTGGAAAACTATATTTTGACGATATCTACTATTGGGTAAGTTATAAATATCAAAGAAATAAAAGCTTAGATTTGAATAATATGCCTAGAGAAAGAGAAAAGCCTAAGCAAAAATAAAAAGAATCATTCTAAGGTGGTTAGAAAAAAGAACAATGAAGTAAGAGACTTTTTGAGAGTAGGGTGAGCAATATGAACAGTACCAAAAAGATTACTGTCTGAAAACAAAGATCAAGTATTTTTATTCCAGTTTAAAAGAAGTAATGATAGAGCATAAAGACTGTCTTATCAATCTTTGTAGATTAATGCACACAGTAGGCACCTACTTCATATTTGATAAATTGCATTAAAATGGATATCCTATAGAATCAAGATCATTTTTCAAATTAGAAAGTGTCAAATATTTTTATCTGATCTCCAATTTATTATTTCTTTTTCTGTGGGACACATCTTCAGAATATTGTAGGTAGTGCCTAAGGCATTTAAGTTATCTTGACTCACTCTCAAGTACAGCTGACAATGCCTTAGAAGTTTCACTATTTTGTATACCATATCCTACATAAAGGAAAGTGGAATTAGACTGATTTGAGACTTAAATCATTGCTCTCTGCCAAGCAGTTAAATGACACTCAAGTTATTTTTGTAGTTATGTCTCAAGTTTTACTCTGTTAAAAGTAGTCATTTTCCACGATGACAGACCACAAAAGGAATAAGGTATCTGCTGATTTATCTGGCAGACAACTCACCAGGAAGAATATTGACCCAGCCTTCACATTTTGGTGCAACTAATGTGTCAGAATGATGTTGTGTTTCATACAGAGTGTAGAGACTTCAGTGGTTCCATCATGATTT